GGGGGGACCTGGAGTCTCCCATTCTGGGTTCACTGGGCCTTTATGGGCAGGTCCAAGGCTCATTCCAGCCCCTCGGTAACCCCTCAAGGGGACCACTGAAGAAGTGGAAACAGAGGTTGAGTGACTTGCCCAACGTCCCACCGCTCAGCAGCCTGAGATGGAATTTAATGGGAACCCCACTTCTTCTGACTTCAGAGTCCAGGCCGTCCTCCATGGCAGACGCATGCCAGTGACCGGTGACAATGAAAGAGTGAGGCCATTTATCCAGGCCGCCTGGGCCTCAGGGACCTAGCACTTCCCCTCCCTCTGCCCGGCTTCTCATTCCCCAGGTCTGGGCATCGCTGTTGTCATTGGTATGTGAGGTGAGGCCCCTTCAGATAGCCTTTTTTTTTTTTTTTTTTTTTGAGATGGAGTATCACTCTGTTACCCAGGCTGGAGTGCAGTGGCCCGATCTCGGCTCAATGCAACCTCCACCTCCCGGGTTCAAGTGAGTCTCCTACCTCACCCTCCTGAGTAGCTGGGATTACAGGCATGCGCCACCACACCTGGCTAAGTTTATATTTTTAGTAGAGACGGTGTTTCTCCATGTTGGTCAGGCTGGTCTCGAACTCCCGACCTCAGGTGATCCTCCTGCCTCGGCCTCCCAGAGTGCTGGGATCACAGGTGTGAGCCATCGTGCCCAGCACAGATAGACCTTTCTTGATCACCCAATTTAATCACCCCATCACCCTGCTCTGTCTTTTTCCAGGTACTGATTATTAGCTGAAAGTGTCTTTTCTGTGTAATTCTTTGTTTACCTTATTGTCCCCCCTCCCACCCCGTCCCATATTCCTTGAGGGCAGGAGCCTCTTTGCTTTTCCATTGCCCTTCCTGGCGCCCGGAACAGGGAGAGGATGTAGGGCCGTGGCTAATGGTTGTTGAATAACTCGTGCGTTTATTCATGCATTCATTCATTCCATCCATCCTTCCCCCTTGTTCCATTTGGGGGAGGCACCTGCAGCCCCATCAGGATGCATGACTTGCTTAAGGTCACTCCGCTGGACGGAGAGCCAGGCTGGGAGCCCAGGCGGTCTCCCTGCGGCGGGTCCCGGGGCACCACTGCGTCGCTCGCGTGCTGTGCTGTTTTGTGGACCAGGTGTAAACACTTCCTAGCTCAAAGCTGTTGTTTGGGAGATGCTGCGCCTCCTCCGTGGATCGGCTGCGCGGCGGAGAATGCTCGCCTCCTCGCACGGTGGCTAACGTGCTGCTGCGGCTCCATAAATATTAAATGGGCATTAAAAGAAGGCGCTGCGTTTCCAGTTTCCCGGATTTCTCTGAGCAGGGCCCGTTGCGAACCCCCTTTATGTGAAATGCAGCATTTCACCGCGGAGCGCCTCCGGGAGCCTTGCCGCCCGCCTTTCCCGGCTGAGTCCCTTTGGTGCAGAGCGGTTCTCCCTCGACTGCAGGCTATCTGCATGCTGGCGCCTGCTCCTCTGGGGCAAAGACGGGTGGGGGCCCCTGGAACCCCTTTTCACAAGGGCTGTGCCAGCCTGGCAGCCTCCTTGCTGGGTATGCAAGGAGGGTAAGATGGAGACGGGGCAGTGACTCTTCAGTCTTCAGCTGTGCTCTCCTGACACCCAACCTCTCCCAGGCCTCTGCTGGGCACCAGGCAGTCTCCAGACACTCTGTCCTTCTGTCCCCTCATGGTCTCTGCATCCATCCCTCCAGCCATCCGTTTCTCCCTCCCTGCCTCCATCCATCCACTAATACTATTGATGAAGTATTTGTGATAGGCCATGGGGTGATCATGTTATAAAAATATTAGCTAACATTTATTGACCACTCACTGTGTGCTGGGCTCTGTGATCAGCAGCTTACATGTGTCACCTCATTGAATATTCATGACTCTACAAGATAGGGACTGTTTTTCTTTCCATTTTGTAGAAGAGGAAACAGAGCCTCTGGAGGTTCAGCCGCTTGCTCAGGGTCACAGAGCTGCTGGGGGCCGGAGCTGACACATGGGGTGCACAAATGGGGGGCCCAGCCCTGCCCTCAGGGGACATCTGGGCTCTTCCTGGGACCCTGAAAAGAAGGCCCCAGATCCAGGCTTCTCTGAGGAGACACCAGCATTGCTGAGAGGAAGGGTGTCAGCTTCAGCCAGCAGGAGAGGAGGGCAGAGCCGGAAGCCAGGCAGCTAGGTCTGGGGCTCAGCCCTGCCACCTACTCTCTGTGCAACGAGACATCACTTCTGTGGGATGTACCCTTCATCATTTGTCAAACGTGAGACATGAGCATCAATATCTGTCTCTTAGTGGTGAGCATTGCAGAGGAAGACTCTCGAAAAGTGCTGGAATTGTGTGGCTCTGAACAAGAGCATGGCCCTTGTGAGCTGTAGGCCTCCAGGTGCAAAAGCCCACCGGGGCTGGCCTGTGTGGCTCAAATAGAGGCCAGACCAGTCATAGGGCCAGACCATGCAGGGTCTTATGGTCAAGGGATTTTATCAGAGAAGCCACCACAAGGATTTCAAGTAGGGATGTGATGTGGTCAGCTTGCATTTGAGAAATATTTGAGTTCTTCAGGGCCCGTCTGGCACCCCTAGCTCCTGGAACTGGCCCCTTGGTTCGCACTTGACACCCTGGTACCAAGGGTGCCCAGTACTCAGGCAGCACCCACTGACAGCAGCTCCTCAATATGCAGGGATCGAATTGAACAGAATAGTGACTTTGACCATCACAGCCGAGGTGAGCTGGGCCCCTGGGACCCACCAGGCTTTGTACTCAGGATTCCTGCTTACCTCTTCATTTAACCTGCACAGTCCCCGGGAGATGGCATTACTACTATCAAATCCATTGTCTTTTCTTTCTTTTTTTTTTTTTTTGAAACAGAGTCTTACTCTGTCATCCAGGCTGGAGTGCAGTGGTACTATCTAGGCTCACTGCAACCTCCACCTTCTGGGTTCAAGCGATTCTCCTGCCTCAGTCTCCCAAGTAGCTGGGATTACAGGTGTGCACCACAGTGCCCGGCTAATTTTTGTATTTTTAGTGGAGAGGGGGTTTCACCATGTTGGCCAGGCTGGTCTCGAACTCTTGACCTCAGGTGATCCGCCCGCCTCAGCCTCCGGAAGTGCTGGGATAACAGGTGTGAGCCACTGCACCGGGCCTCAAATCCATCTTCTAGAAGAGGAAGCTGGTGGCTCAGAGAAGTTAGGAAGTTGACTTAAGGTCACACAGCAAGTCAGCCATGCTGGGGCTTGACCCCTGTCCAGATCTGGGCAGGCCTGGCTCAGAGTATGCAGAGTCCTGGAACTTGGCATCTGGTGCTCTGAGGCCTTCCCCGGGGTTTCTGGGTGCCGGGCAGCAGTTACAGACAAGAGGGGTGCAGGTCCCTGCTCCCCCACCTACAGTTCTGTTGCGTAGCACCCGCAGGGAGAGCCTATCACTTAGAAACAACCCACAGGACCAAACAACGGCACAAGTGTGTCCCCAGGAAAAGGGAGACGGTTCCCCCCTTGTCTTTGCAGGTGGAGAAGAGGGATATGTGTTGGGAATCAGGAAGTGTCTTTAGGGGTCGGTGGGAGAAGGAGGATATTGCTATTTATTTCACCTTCTGGGCAGATGATCAAGATTTAAAAACAATTAATAACCCATTTCTCCTTTGCACATAATTACAATGTTCTCCATTCTCTAATTTTTGTCATTTTCCTAATCTAATTTGTTTTCTGACCGTGTCGATTCTTCTTCCAAGCGCAAAGCAAACGGGAGTTGTCTTCATTTAGCGTGTTTGCGATATGCCTATCCAGGAATAGTTTCCATGATGTTATTTTCTCCTTGGTTAAATACAGTGCAAAAGGAATCGTCGGAGGGTCTTAATGACCCAAACTGAAAACAACGACAAAAAGTCTTCAAGGCATTTCCCACTGACACGGTTTAGAAAATAATTATGAAAAGGAACGAGACAACTCGATGGTCTGAGTAACGAGGCATCGGCCGTAGCGCTGTGTGTTGGGGTAGGATGGGGTCTCACCCGGGGCCTGCATTTCCAAGTTTCTACAGAGTTCTACACTGACCTGAGGCGGGGTCGGTTGGAGGGATAGTTAAGCCCAGTAAATATAAGTGCAAACTGCACTTCCCGGTGAAAAAGATTTGAAAAATATTGCATATTCTCAAGCTGCAATTCAAAGCTTGACGGGGTACCTCAGGGTTCCTGAGATCCTCATGAGAGAGAAGGTAGTGACGCACCGGAGGAGGTTTTTGCAAAAGGTTCCTCCTCCCTCACCATCTCCGCCCCTACCTGCACCACCACCCCTGAGCCTGTGGGTATGTGATCATCTATGTCTGGGAAAACCCCTTCTCGGGGCACCACTAAAAGATATCTTTAGATGAAATTGATGTTGAGGGAGGAATTTTTGCCCGTGCTGTCTCCACCTGCTCGGGCTTGCAGGGGTGTGGGCGTGGGGCCGTGTGGGTGTGTTTGGGGGTCTGTGGGGGATGGGGGAGGGTTGTAGGAGAATCCTTCTTATTTCCCAATTCTGAAAAGTAAAACTTAACTCACCTGTTTACAAAATACCAGCCATTGTCTTACCCCAGCTCCCTGTCACCCTGTAGGCTCTGGAGGATTTTGTTGAAGGAAAAAAAAAAAAAGCCTGAAGTATTTAAACACGTTGGGCCATGCATGCATCCGTCCACAGTGCTGTGGGTTGTATTTTTTTTTTTTTCTTTTTTTTCTTGTCCCCTCCCTCCCTTCCCTTTTCTTTTTACCAAAGTATATTCATCAAACTGCTGAGTTGGAAAGATTTGTAATGAGTTTTTGAGCTGTACGACTGTGTTTTTTTTCCTCTCCCCCCGCCCTCTCCCTCTTTCTAAATCTTCATCTGACATTAAATAAAGCAAACTGAAGTTGCCTTAAGGATGAAAAGGAGTCTGCTGGCCCATATTAAGAATTTCAAGTTTGGGTCTGGCTTCAGGTATAGCTGGATCTTCAAATCTGTCTCTTATACACATCTAGATGTGTATAAGAGACAGGGCCAGCGGAGGTCCATGTGGCGCTCTAGGTGGGATGCCGGCGTCCTGAAGGCGGAGGCCCTGGCCCTCCTCCCCTGTGGCCTGGGCATGGCATTCTCCCAGTCCCACGTGATGGCCGCTCGGCGGCACCAGCACAGCCGGCTCATCATCGAGGTGGACGAGTACAGCTCCAACCCCACCCAGGCCTTCACCTTCTACAACATCAACCAGGGCCGCTTCCAGCCACCGCATGTGCAGATGTAAGTGGGACCTGTGGGGTGGGGGTGGGGGTGGGTACATGGTCTCGGGTGCCTCCTGGTTCTGGGTGCACCGTTAACAAGCATTGAATGTTTGTTGACTGGACTGCAGCAATTCTGGAATCCTAGGATCACTGGGGCTCTGAGTTGGGAGGGACCGGCAAGAAGTTGCAGATGGATGGCCTGTGGGCCGATTCTGGCCGCGGTCCTGTTTCACTTGGCCAGGAGCATGTTTTACAAATATTTAAAGATGAGGTGGACGCACAGAAAACTCCAGACTTCTGGCTTCACTTTATAAAACCCAAAGGCCTGGCAACCCCAGGCCCACATGTCCTCCTGGCAGCGTCTGGCGGGGGCCACATTCCAGATCCCTTTCTTGGCATTTGAGTGGCGACCCCTTGTCTGATTTACTCTCCTCAATGTACACACAGGGAGACCGAGGCCCAGAAAGGGGAAGGGGCTTGCCACAAGCCCCATGGCAGGTTAGGATCCAGTCTTGGGCTCCGTGTTTCCTCTCCCTGCCCTTCCTTTTGTCCAGACCCTGTGCTTCTCTTGTGAAAGCAGAGATGCTTTTCCAAAAGGACTGGGGGATTCTGTTGTCTACCCCTTGGGGCACTAGGGGTAGACAGTGCCAAGCAGTGCTCAAGCAGTGAGGCCCTGGGGAGCACACAGACTCAAGATCCCCATAGGCAGCAGGAGGGCTTGTCCTGATGCCTGTGTGCAGGGCCAGCCTTTCCTATCTGGATTTCCTGAGGTCCTGGAAAGCTGTAGGTGGCTGGGGGTGGCTCCAGAGATGGTCAAGCTCCTGACCCTGCTCTGGGTGGTTCCCTGAGTCCCTAGAACTCCCCTCCTGCTTTATACCTGTTGCTTCTCCCATGAGCCCTGCACGACAGAGTTTACCTGGTGAGGAACCAGGGGCCCAGGCCCATGAGGTGCCCCACCCTGCTGGCAGGTGCCAGAGCTGGACTCGAACCCAGGCTTCCTGAGTCCAGCCCGGGGCTCTCCATGCTGGGCCTCCCACATCCTCGGGCTGTGATGTGTGTGGATGTTCACGCTTCTGCCTGAGAGTGGAGGCTGTTGTCCCCTCGGCTGTTGTACCTTCACCCGACTCTGGGTGCCCGTGCCCAAGCTGGGTCTGGATCAGGGATGACCCCTGCAGAGCAGGGAGGTGACAGCACAGGGAGGGGGGAGCTGTGACAGGGGCTGATCCAGTGCTGTAGGACCTACGGGAAGCCCTCCTGACTGCCCAGGGGTCTGGTGCCCCAACAAGGGTCTAGGCTCTGGGCCGCCTCTGGGGCTGTGATCACCATCTTGGGGCAGCGGTGCTTGTGGAGTCCCAGCCACTGTCCCTCGGACCACTTGGAGAAGGAATTAAGGGGGTTTCCAAACCCTGGCCTGGTGGGATGTGTGTGAGGTTGCAGCCTCCCGTCCCTGTGTGGCCTCCCTCAGGCCTGGCCTCTGTTGTGGGCAGAGGGGAGTACAGGGAAGGGCTCTGCAGGGCAGCAGGCTCCAGGCAGGGATTGCGGTCTTCTAGTGGCACTTGCCCAGGAAAATGCTTGTCTCCATGTGGGGTCGCAGGACTGGTGTTGCCTGTGGCTGCCTACTTTATTTTTTGGTAGATTTCTATTTGGGCTGCTGCCTCTGGGTTTCTGTTTTTGGGACCAAATTGGCGGGTTTGGGCAGGAAGGAAGGCCCCGGGCCTTAGGTCTGTGGGACTTGAGGCCTGGGAGGGGCTGCAGGGACGGGGACCTTCCCTGGCCTGAGTTTTATCTTTTGTTGGTGAGGGTCATCCTCCAACTGGGTGGGTCAGAGGTAACTGAGCCTGAGGTCTCTGTAGGCCAGGCTGAACTCCTGCCTAGTGGGCAGGCAGAGAGCAGCAAGGCCTCCCAGGGCAGGTGGGGTTTGTGAGGGTGCCGGCACCACACACAGTGGGACCATGGACAGCTGTCAGTCACAGCGCCCCTTCCTGGGCCAGGCACACACTCAGGGAGCTCCTAGTCTGAGAACAGAGCCAGGGAAACAGGAAGACAGGGAGTGGGGGCTGAGGAGGCACTTCCCAGTTTCAAGGGATCCAGGAAGGACCTCCTGGACCTCCTGGAGAACTAGATAATTTCTAGGTTGAGGCCAGAGCAGGAGGAATAGACATAGCAAGTTGGGAGGGGGTGTGAGGAGGAAGTGGACCAGGCAGAAGCAGTGGCAGGGTCGGAGCCTGCAGGTGGCTAGAAGACGGGGGTCTCTGAGAACTGCAGGGAGGCCCAGCTGGGCAGGCAGTGGGAGTGGGGGATGAGCAGGAGACACCACAGGTCCCTGCAGGCTGGGCTGCGTCCTGAGGGAGGGTGGTGAATGACAGAATGAGAAGGGGTGATCTACTCCCTTTAACTGAGCCACCCGGGGCCATTCATTCTTTTGTTGAGTCATTCATTTATTCACGCATTTGGGATGTCTGTGAGCTGCTGAGTTTCTCAGTGTTTAGGACCTTGGGCACTGAGCTTGCCTGCTTGGATGGGGGTCATGCTGCTTGGTGCCTCAGTTTCCCCAATCTGGAGCTGGCTACTCCAGGTGGAGGCACCACATGCTTCCCTGAAATTCCCCTTGCCGTGCCGCCCTTCTCGATTGGCACATGTGCTCTGCACAGCTCGGAAAGCTGGTCCTCACCCCCCGTGACGCTAGTCCACACATTCTCAGTGGAGGAAACAGCACCTCCAAGGGGTGAAAACTGGTTCTTAGGGGGTGAAAAAAATGCTGCACACAGTAATACTGGGGATGAAAGAGTTAAATCCTGGTAGAGAAGGCCCAGTGGGCAGCAAGCATTCAGCATTGGTAGCACATGCCAGGCCTGGTGAGAGGCTTGGGTCCCAGCAGTGATCGAAGGCACCCCTGCCTGTGCCGAGCTTACATCCAGTGGATGGCAGGCAGTTAGCAGATGGTCATGAAAGCGTGTGATGCTGGTGATGGTAAGCGCTGTGGAGAAGGAACTTAGCTGGGGAGCTGGAGCAGGCCCCCTGAGGATTTACACCTGGCCTGCCCCACCCCATCCTGGACAGCTCTGCACCACCACCTCCGGCAGTGGGGAGAGTTCCCGGCTCCTGCTGGCTCTGGGGCTCCCAGGCAGCTGGGGTTTGGGTGGGGCCCTGGAGAGAGCGTGCTCTGAGCTCCAGCTTTGAAACACAACTTTGCACACAGCTGGTTAAAGCCAGGGTGGGCACAGAGATGGGGGGCTTCTGCCTCCCACTGCCCCTTCATTCAGCCTCCACACCCCAAGCTCGGAAGCATGCAGGCTGCTGGAGGTGGCTGAACGGATTTCCATGGCGAGTCAGCTGCTTCCTCCCAAGAGCGGTGGGGGGATGGCTGCCACCTTCTGACATGTGATTTGTCGCCACCCTGGGCTTTGTCTCCGGGGTGAGGGAGCGAGGGGGCCTTATTTAATAAATCCACAATTTATATTTAATAACAACAGTGACAGTCCAAACATGGCCTCTGATTGAGTCCTGTGATTTATGCCGTTGCCCCCAGAGACCCTGCTGGTGACGAGGCCGCCTCTGCTTAGGTAATGAATCTCTGGAGCTGGGCCTCTGGATTGTGAGCAAGGCTGAAGATTCCTTGCCCTGGCGACTGAGCAACCCTGTGGGGGTCTCAGGAGGCCCCTCTAGGCCCAGCCCTTCTGCCCTGGGTGGGCAGGCGGACCACTGACCTAGTGGTCAGTGGGAAGGCAAGAGTGAGTGTTGGGGGACAGGGTTAGCCTGGAGCTCTCATGTAGGTCCCCAGGACCATGGCATCAGGCACAGCAACCCCTCTCTGACCTTTACAAGGCGTTATGGCAGAGGCTTGAGTCATCGCTGAGAGACCCTTCGAGCCCCTCAGGCGTGCACCGGGTCCTTGAAGCTATGGCAGAGTGGGATGGGAGGCCACAGCCCCTTTGTGCCTGTTCCTGGCCTTTCCTGCTGTCCCAGGGTGGTGTGGACCCCCTCTCTACAGATGAGGATGCTGAGGCTTTGGAAGGTGAGCATGGGGAGCTGGGACTCCCACCCGGTGCCGTGTGGCTCCTTGGCCTGTCCACACACTGAGAGGCTCCTGGAGACATGGAGCTCAGCCTGGAGTGCAGGGATGGGGGACAAGGAGCAAAGCAAGTGGGGAGGACTCACCCCGGCACCGCCTGGCTCTCAAGCCTCATTCTCCATCCGTGTCGTGCTGGGCAACAGATGCAGTGGCTGCTTCCAGTTTCTTAAACATTCCAGTCTTCCTCCTGCCTCAGGTCTTTGCACATGCTGTTTCCTCTGATCACAACTCTTTGCCCTATGAGCACTGACTCCTCCTTCAGATCTCATCCAGGTGTCACCACCTCAGGGAAGTCTTCCCTGCTCCAGCTCTAGGTGCTCACTGCTGGGCCTGGTGGCGCACACTTAGTGGAACCTGATTCAGTCTGTGCTGATACATTCCTTTGCGGGAGGATTTCCCAAGCATCTCTCCCCTGCACGAGCATGGGGCTGCATGTCTGGTGCCTAGCACAGGGAACAGGAAGCAGGAAAGAGAAGAGAGTGAGAACGGGACAGGTGGCAAGACTCAGGAGGAGTGTCAGGGATCACGGAGGGCTTTCTGTGGGGGTGGGGGTGGCATAATCCCTGGGCGTGGAGGACCAGCTGCCCTGTGGCCTCTGTGAAGTGGGCCACTTTAGGAAGAGGGACCAGCAAGAGCAGAGGCCAGGATGTGGGAAGGAAGGACAGGCGTGGGGACGCTGGAGGGTCCTGTGGCCAGGGTCCCCTTGGATCCATTGCTTTGTGGGAAGACCACTGGACAAGGGGTCGGGGCAGTTGTTGTGTGATGCTGATCCAGCCAGTCATTGCTCCTCCCCAGGCCTCAGTTTCCCCATTTGTAAAATGAGAGGAAGGGGCTAAAGGTCCTTTCCTACTAAAACACCATGGCTGATGCCCAGTCACACGGCTGGATGAGTTGTTGGAAGCTGTCCCTGCCTGGACCTTCAGAGCACCCCATTTCTGCAGGAATAG